CTTATATCTTGAGTAGGAAGAACAAAAGACAAACCTATCAAAAATAGGTTTGGAACTTTTTAATAGAAAGTATAAAAAGATATGGATGGGAACAACAAAAAGTTAAAAAGCAGGGGGAAGTATGTAGTTAAAGGGTAGAATTTCTGTTAGATTTCTCCTTGCTTGTTTCTTTGTTTGTGTGTAAAGTATGTTTAAAATAATTGGTTATAAAATGTTTTTGTAAGACCAATGATGACCTCAAATCAAAACACCTACAAAAGATGCACAAAGAATAAAAAACAAGAAATTAAACACAACACTAGAGAAAATCACTTTTAACAAAGGAAGATGGAAGGAAGGAAGGGAGGAAGGGAGGGAGGAAGGAAGGGAGGAAGGGAGGGAGGGAGGGAGGACCACAAAGCAACCAGAAATCAAATAATATTAATAACATGGCAGTAGTAAGTCTTTACTGATCAATAATAACATTGAATGTGAATGGACTAAACTCTCCAATCGAAAGACATAGAGTGGCTGAATGAATAAAAAACAAGATCAAGAAACACACTTCATCTATAATAACACACAAAGACTGAAAGGGATGGAAAAAGATAGTCCATGCAAATGAAAACTATAAAGGAAGCGAAGTAGCCATACTTCTATCAGATAAAATAGATTTCAAGACAAAAACTGTAAAAAGAGACAAAGAAGGTCATTATATAATGATAAAGGAGTCAGTTCAGCAAGAGGATATAACAATTCTAAACATATGTGCACCCAACACTGAAGCACCAAGATATATAAAGCAAATACCATGAGAGCTAAAGAGAGAGAGAAATTCCAATACAATAATCATTATAGAACTCAACAATCCACTTTCAGCACTAGACAGATCATCCAGACAGAAAATCAAGAAATACTGGACTTAACCTGCACTATAGATCAAAGGAACCTAATAGATATTTATAGAACGTGTCACCAACAGCTGTAGAATACATGTTCTTCCCCTTAGCTCATGGATCATTCTCAAGAATGTACCATATGTTAGGTCACAAAAAAAGTTGTAAAAATTCAAAAAAACTGAAATCATACCAGCTATTTTCTCCAACCACAAAACTAGAAATCAATAACAAATGGAACATTGGAAAATATACAATCACGTGAAAATTAATATGCTCCTGAGTAAACAGTAGGTCAATGAAGAAATTAAGAAGGAAATTTAAAAAATTTCTCAAAACAAATGAAAATGAAAACACAACATATGAAAACCTATGGGATACAGCCAAGGCAGTAATAATAGGGAAGTTTACAGTAATAAGCGCATACATCAAAAAAGAAGAAAACCTTCAAATACACAACCTAATGATGCATCTCAAAGGACTAGAAAAATAAGAGCAAACTAAACCCAAAATTAATAAAAGAAAATAATAATAAAGATCAGAGACAACTTAAACCAAAATAAAATACAAAAGATCAATGAAAAGAAAAGTTGGTTTTTTGAGAAGATACACAAAATTGACATACCATTAGCCAGACTAAGGAAAAAGGATAGAAGATTGAAATAAATAAAATCAGAGATGAAAAGGAAACATTACAACTGATACTGCAGAAGTCCAAAGGATTATTAGAGATTGTTATTCTGCAACTATACACCAATAAACTGGAAGACCAAGCAGAAATGGATAAATTCCTAGACACATACATACCAAGATTGAACCAAGAAGAAATCCAAAACCTGAATAAACCAATAACAAGTAATGAGACAGATGTGTAATAAAAATTTTCCCATCAAAGAAAAACCTAAGATTCGCTTGCTTCACAGCTGAATTCTACCAAGCATTCAAAGAATTAATTCCAATCCTACTTAAACTATTCCAAAAAAATCAAGGAGGGAATACTCCCCAACTATCCTATGAGGTCTATATCACTCTGATACCACCAGACAAAGACACAACAAAAAAAATAAAACTATAGGCCACTATCTCTGATGAAGATAGATACAAAAATCCTCAATAAAATACTAGCAAGCCAAATTCAATAACTCATTAAAAAGATTATTCATCCTGATCAAGTGGGATTCATTCCAGGAATGCAAGGATGGTTCAACATACACAAATCAATCAATGGGATACATCACATCAACAGAATGAAGGACAAAAACCATATGATCATTTCAATTGATGCTGGAAAAGCATTCGATAAAATTCAACATCCTTCATGATAACAACTCTCAAAAAACTGAGTATAGGAGGAACTTACCGCAACATGATAAAAGCCATATATGACAGACCTACAGGGCAAATCATACTGAATGGGAAAAAAATGAAAATCTTTCCTCTAACATCTGGAACGAGACAAGGATGCCCACTTTCACCACTGTTATTCAACATGATACTGTAAATTCTAGCTAGAGCAATCAGACAAGACAAACAAAGGGTATCCAGATTGGAAAGACAAATTATCCTTGTTTGCAGATAATATGATCTTATAGCTAGTGAAATCTAAAGACTCCACCAAAAAACACTATTAGAACTGACAAACAAATTCAGTAAAGTTGCTGGACACAGAATCGATATGCAAAAATCAGTAGCATTTCTATATGCCAAAAGTAGACAATCTGAAAAAGAAACCAAGAAAGTAATTCCATGCATAATACCTACAAATAAAATAAAATACCTAGGAATAAACTTAACCAAAGAAGTGAAAGATCTCTATAATGAAAACTAGAAAATATTGATGAAAAGAAATTGGAGAAGACACACAAAAAAATGGAAAGCTATTCCATGCTTGTGGATTGGAAGAATCAATATTGTTAAAATGTTCACAGTACCCAAATCAATCTATAGATTCAATGCAATCCCCATCAAAATATCAATT